ACTCCCCCCTTTTTTTCTTTCTCTTTCTTTCTTTCTTTCTTGCTTCGTGTCTCTTTTGGAGTTGATTTGATTTCTCTTCTTGGACGTCTTGGACTGCGAGGTGTTCCGTTGTCTTACTTTTACCCCGCTACTTGAAGGACGTCCTGAAAACCAAAAATGAAAAAAGGTGGTTATTTTCAGATATCAAGGTCGTCCGTCTTTACATATTTTTCTGTCCTTTTCGGAGAAGTTTTTTTTTTGGAACTTCAGTAAACTTCAAATGCCTTTTTTTTTGCTTTAGGTCTTCTCAGCGTGGTGCACAATGTTTAGGGTGTAAAGGGTGCGGATATAGGGACTAGGGGCTAAGGGAGGGGAGGGAAGGGAGGGAAGGGATAGGGAGAAAGGGAGGGGTTGACCTCTGATGGCTTGTCTGGTGCTCGCAGTGACCTCGGAGTGGGTCAAGGCAGGTCAAAAGGCGGCACTTGAGGACTCGTCTCTCTGTCCTACAAAAACATCTGGGTGATATTTTCCGCCAGCTATGAGTGCCGTTTTCCCCTTTATTCAGGTAACAGCTGGGAAGAGAATAAAAAGAGGGTGGATAAAAACATTATTGATCATAATATTCAGATACATTCTATTTAGGCTTGGAGTAGCTGGGTAATATAACATTTTAATCTCATACTATGGAAATACATATCGTATGAGGTGGACTTTGATTACATGCACAGTATATATATATATATATATATATATATATATATATATATATATATATATATATATATATATATATATATATATATATATGTATATATATATATATGTATATATATACATATATATATACATATATATATATATATATATATATATATATATATATATATATATATATACATCTATATATACACAGCTTAAATCTGTATTTATAACATACATAAACACAAACACAAACACACGAAAACAAACAACACAAGCAGGCACAAGGCTAGACTCTGCTCCCTACAAACTATAAACCGAAGCAGGAGAAGGAAGACCATGCAAAATAAGTAAATAAACGTGATTAAAAAAATAATAATAATATATAATAGCTTAGAAATGAAACAAAAACAACCAAGAACAACAGCTGAAATTTTGACACTTTAAAGGACAAGAAAAGAAAAGATATTTGTACTTTTTTGGTAGAAGTGCCGTGATCTGCTGCCATTCCTCAGTGGTTAGTTTGGGAGGCATGTATGCGACCCGTGTCTCTGTGTTTGTACATAGGTAATTATATGATAAATCCCATATTTATTATAGATAAATATAAAAAAAAGAATGTCTAGGTTCGGTAGACTGCATGACCTTGATATTTAAATTAAGCCGGAAGTCCCTTGTCGATGCATACAGAAGGTCAGAAAGTTGCGTTGCGGTCAGGTCAGGTCAGGTCACAGAAAGGGAGGAAACTATAGGGATTCAGGCACTGACATGACCTGTGTGTACCTGTGTATGACATTTTCGAGTGTGTATCCGGTATGGTGTGTGTACCATCTTCACCAGCATGGATATATAATGAAATTAGGTGTAAGACTATGTTATTTGACTTCTTATAGTGCAACCGTAGACTGTTATCACTGTAGTCAAGAGAACAAAAATTAATAAAAAAAAAAATAAATGAATTCATCTTCACAGTACTATTTTGTCATAGTAGCATTAATGTGGAATAAAGATTTTTTTCGCTGTGAATGGATCTGATAATTTTGATGGCTATTTTGCCTGCATCTCCGTACAAGACCAGCAACAACATAACAAAGGAAAAGAAAGGAAATATTGCATTATTTTGGGTGAGAGTCCCCCCAACCCCCAACAATACAAACAAACAAACAAAAAACGTATATTAGAACTTTAAAAAAAAATCAAATAAATTAATCTCTAGGACCTAAAAAAACAAACAAAAAACAAATCGTAGCTAAACAGATCAATGTCGACGACGTGTTGCCAGATGAACGCGCGTCTCCGAGACCTTAGTTGCTGTATGGGAAAGAAACCGTTTTTTTTTCTTCTTTTTCTTCGGGAATAAACACAGCCCGGGTGGATCGTTGGTCACACCGCTTCTTGGCGCTGCTCTTCAACTCTCTCTCCGCATGGTGGTTCGCTATCCCAACCTGTTTGTACAATGACTCACTCTGTCACGCGTGTTTGTAGTGGCGGGTGGACTGCTGAAGCCGTTTTCCATTTCTTCGTCCAGGTCCGTCGCCATTTTTGTTTTGTGTTGGTGAGCTGCCAGACGCTTCTTTTTTTTCTCTCTCTTTATCGGTGAATTGGCAGGACATTTTCGTTTTCTCTTTTTCCGAGTCTCTAGGCAAAAATTATTTCTTTTCATATCGGTGTGTCTCTAAACTGATTATCATTTTTTTCCTTCTTCTTCTTCTTCTTCGTATTAGTGAGTCGCTAGTTCGAATCTCATGTGTACGTGTACGTATGCGAGTCACCGAACACCCCAAAAGACTCGCTCGTTTGATGAGTCGCTGAGCGAATTCGGAATCTCAGATGGTGAATCAAGAGCATCTCGCCCTCTTGCAACTCGTTCGTGCGGTGTCACTTGCCTAACTTGTTTGTGGTCCTCAACAAGCCTGTCTAGTAGAGTTGGTGTCATCTATTAGGAATTAACAAATAAATAAAAATAAAGAGGGCGTATTCCTGACAACCCAAGGTTAATGCATTTACATCTTTAACGATGATGTATGTATTGTATATTGCTTTTCATACCTTCTCTTGTGTTGAAGACATAGATGCTAACTTTATTTATTGTCCACGTATGTTACTGCTACAGACTGCACCCGGTTACACATTAAAAATTCTATATATATATATAAAATTGTTAAGACACACAAGTTTGACTTGGGGATCAGGCTTGTCCAAGGAGTCATTATGGTCTCTGACGTCATACCTGTGACGTCACTAACCAGGCGCACCAATCGGAGCCATCGTTGTCTCAGATATCATATATTTGACGTCATAATTCAGGGGCACCAGTCGGAAAGTCATCATGATTTCTGGTGTCATATATATGACGTCACAAATCTGGCGCACCAATCGGAGTCATGGTCTCTGACGTCATTCATATGACGTCATAGACCAGGCGCACCAATCGGGAATTTTGTATAAAGCTATATATCCTTTGTACTCGCAGCCATGTTGTGTGCTGTTGCATAATGAAAGGTAGATTTTTCAGCAGTACCCCCAAGACTCAGCCATTATTTTATCCTTATTTTTGTGTGTGTGTCATAGTCATAAGAAAAGAAAATGGTACGTACCAACTGCTAGCTAGTAATACTTTTGTTTACGAAAAAATGCTCTCTATATGACAAATTGTGTGGATGATTCCTTACCATTATCATGTCTGATAATTTAAAGATTTAAAAAAATGAGAATCAAGTAAATAGAGTATGAATGCCAAGGCAGATTTAGGCGCCTTCTCTTTGCATACTGTTCAGGGAAACTGGTTCATTTTTTGGTTCCATTTGTATGACACATGTAACTCTTTTTTTGTATAGTGAATCTATAATTTTCTTTTGCAATGACCTGGTGAGAACGTTCCAGAAAGTCTTTCTAAAGTCACAAGTTTCCTCATGGATTCCAGTGCCATGAAAGTTTCAATACATACACACACACACACACACACATACACACACACACACATACACATACACACATTTTTCTCTTAAAAATAGCCTACATATTTTCTTTTCGCCAGCCAGTTTCCCTGCCAATGGAAGAATTCACAAATCGATGTCTTGTAGCACTCAATCTGTCATGTATTACGTGTACACAAAATGCTCATCGCTATTGATTCCTTCAATAGCGGTAATTATCGTACCTCACTGTTTGTGAATTCTGACAACACTGGAAGTCTCATTACCGAGGTGTAAATTATTGTACCTTTCGTTTACATTCGTATTTTTTCAGTTCGTCGTTTCGTTCGTTTTGTAATAAACTTTTTGTTTATGTCTTTTACTTACGGTTATTTATGCATTCCTTTAGATTATAATTTATTGGTTATTTTCTTAGGTTTGCTTTCCAGTACATCTGTATATAGATATATTGACATATAATTCTAATTAACTCTTTATTTGATCGAAGGTATAGCATTGGCATGATTATAATCCAGTAAAAAGAAAACACAACTCTTGATATTATTACTGAAGATAATTTTGTGAAATTTACCATATATTTGTATACCGATGAAATTTATAAAACCAATATTTCCTAATTGGCTCTGTAAATTTTTTGTGTAACCATTTCGTTAAGTTTTACTCGTGTTGACAGTGATTTTTTGACGAACAACTCCGGTGAAGATTTCTTGCATTGTGTTGATTTTAAGCAAGCTGATTCATTTTTTCTGTCTGCCTCGTAGTCACAAGATTTATAATTTAAATAGCATGAAAAAGGAAAAGATTGCATCATGCGATCAACTCGAAGCAAGAAATCTTGGAAGAGGTTGCTCGCCAAAATACACCTAAGGCTAACCTTTCACAAGAACCAAGCTTGTACATCTGTGCATGGTATCATTAATGCATAATCATGATCTTATTGCATGCAAGATGGCGCGACACTAAACAAGCAATATGAATATATCTTGGACGTCATATAATAATCAATATTATTAATCCATCAATATAGTTTATAGGAGAATTAAGAGTGCAAGATGGTTATTGAAACTCTCACTGTGGAAAGGAAGCTAAAACACGATCTGTTTCTTGTTTCTTGTCATTATGATTATTATTAGTAGTATTAGTATATTTGATTTATTTATTGTTAATGCGTCCAAATTCTTCGGCTGAGACTTTAAAAAGACGCCAGCTTGTAAAAAATAACACACAAACAAGAGTGTTGTTTCATTCAACCCCCCCCCCTCCTCCTCCTTTTTATACGAGGAAGACTTTTGAATATAGTGAAGGTTTAAACAATATATATATATATATATTTCATTTTGTTCAAATGAGTTAGAAACAAGAACAAAAGAGACACGCACACACACA